CTCATTCTGACACAAACAATATTTCAGATGATAAAACACACAGAAAAAAAAAAGTTATTGACTTGGAGGAAGAAATGTCTGTTTATGAACACTTTTCTTCCCAGCACTGCTTTAAACTAAGCTGCTGGTAGATAAAACTTTGAAGGTTAATTTATTTAAGTTTTGGTATAAAATAGTCTGGTTGTTTTGGAGCGTTTTTTGTTTAGAAAAAAACAGACGTCCTTAAATGAAGGTAAACAAAATGCAATATTTTTCCATATTATATTTCCTTTCTCCAGATTTATACAAAAGCCATAAAAAGTAAATAAGACACTTCTTTTTGTGTTTTTTAGGTGCACTATACTGACAAAATGCTCCACCTTCCTCTTTCTAGGAACTAGATCATCTAATGATCTTTCAACATTACCTTCACCACTGATTACTTATAGTCTCTAAAGATTTTAACAATTATGCTGTGCTGCAATTACTCCAATACCCACATAAAAGGTTTAGTAACAATTTGCATACCTTTCACAAAATAGATAATACATATTGGACTACAAAGTATGATGCCTGGTTCTGCTGGAGGTTTCTTCCTGTTAACAGGGAGTTTTTCCTCTCCACTGTCGCTACAAGCATGCTTAGTGCGAGGGATTGCATTTGAGTCAATGAGTCGATGCAATCAACTGGTTTTCCTTAGATAGAAAAGTTTGAATCAATTTGACTGGATGATCTGGTTGAACTGTAAAGTGCCTTGAGATGACTTGTGTTGTGAATTGGCGCTATAGAAATAAACTGAATTGAATTGAATTAAATAATTTGATTACTAATGTCCATACAAACCATATAATACAATTAGTTGTTGTTTTGTAAGACAAATACATTTCAATCAGATCAAGATTTTTTGTGCATATTAGCATAGCTAATGACAATAGCTTAGTTGCTTAAAGCTACACTGTGCAACTTTTTGCCACTAGGGGAGCTAGACCTGTAATTTTCAAGTCTAGTTCACCTGGAAGCAGCTGGCAGCAAACTGCTGTTGAAGATTCTCAGTCGTCCAGGTTTGTTTCCAACTTTGAAGACGTTTCGCTTCCCATCCAGGAAGCTTTTCAATTCAAATGTCAGAAATAGAGTTGAGTTCGAGGCTTTATGGAGTGGACCAAAAACAAAGCCCTGTTTTGGTTAGAAAACATGCAAAACGAACCGGACGAAGGGGTTTGCCCCTTAGGAATGGGCAGTCGTTTGGGTTCTTTGTTAGCCTGCAATACCCGTTACCTGTCTATGTCTCTGATTGGGGGGTCGTTGGAGGAATCGTTGGCCTGGCTGAACAGGCCGGGTGTTCTGTTCCCGTGATGATAGCGAAATAAATCAACTTTGTCACTGCATTGTCGGTTTTTGAGAGCTGAAACCTGAGTCCACCCCCTCTGTTTAAGGTTGGTTTTTCTTTCTTAACATAGGCAAGGCAAGGCAAGGCAAGGTAGGGCAAATTTATTTGTATAGAACAATTCAGTACAAAGACAATGCAAAGTGCTTTACATGATTAGAATACAGGAAGATAAAACAGAATTAAAGCAAGTGGGGAAAAAAAATAAAATAAAAAAATGCAGAAACAAAAAAGAATATTAAAAACAGTTGGGCTAAAGAAAATATGTTTTAGTATAGATAGCTTTCTTCACACCCCTCTCAAACCACCTGTCTTCTTTGTCCTAAATGTGAACATTCTGGTCCTCCAAAGAATGTCCTTTGTCCATAAAGTGTTGATGTACCGCCAAGTCTTGTCCGGAGAGGTCGTTCTTCTGTGTTGGACCATGCATCTGTGGAGAGATTGTTTGGTTTCTCCGATATAAAGATCAGAGCATTCCTCGCTGCACTGAACTGCATACACCACTCCGATCATATTTGGTCTGGGGGTTTTGCCCTTTGGATGCAATAGTCTCTGTTTAAGGGTCTTGTTTGGTTTGAAATGTACTAGGATTGTGTGTTTGAAGAAAATCCTCTTTTTGGTGGAGTCAACACTAAAGTCAACACCATGGGCGTAGGTTTGCATAGGGACCATAGAGACATGTCCCTACCAATATTTTGGACCGACCTACTTGTCCCTACCAACAATTAGATGTCAATAACATGTTTACAATTTACAATACAGCTTTGTTGCAGCACTAGAGGAGTTCTGGATGGAGGACATTGACAGACGGAAGCATCTTTAAACTAAAATGCAAAATGTTTATATATATTTTTTTTAATTTTGGTATAATTCCTGCTGTAAGTGGGTCGCTCTGTGAGCTAAAGACATGTTTTAGAGTCTCTATACTCCAGGTAACAATTAATCGATTACTACATTTGTTGACATTTCAGTAATCGTTTAATCTAATGAATTGTTTCAGCCCAAGATAAAATACATGATATGGGTTAAATAGAGTAACTACAGCCTAGATGACTGGTAGAGTGAAATTAATATTCTAAATATTCAGTGTCAGTTCCAGTGCTCATGTAAATACAATACATTTATTTGGTGTCCCTTGAATCTATTATTTTGCTTTGTTTCATGATACAGAGAGAATATTTAAAAGATAAGAGTTGGTTTTACCTGTGTTTACCTCTGCACAATTGTATAGCTTTAAATGAAAAAAAAAAACAGGATAAATTCACATATAACAGACATATTTAGACTATATTTTGTTAAATAGGCACAGATTTTCTTTCTGTCTTAGTTGCTGGTAATTTCAAATGCAAACCTTTTCAAAGTGGAATTTAGTCATAATTCCACATTCATCAGAGCCAGTGATGCTTCAAACATTGATAAACAGCATCTAGTGTGTGTAGCGCTTATAAAATTTGTATAAATGTAGCAAGAAATGCTGCTTTTCTCTTTAAACAAAATACACCATGATTTTCACGTCAAGCATAAAAAAACGACAATGCATATTTTTGCATAGGACCAATGACATCAGACCGAGAGTGTCTCTGCCTAAGTTTAAATCAAACCTTGGTCAATGCTATTTCTGACATTTTGAATTGAAAAAGCTTCGTGGAAGGAGATGGCAACAAAGTACTGTACCAAAATTAAAGTCTCCCTCCTTGTTTTGGAACCGGATAGCAGGTCATTTTGGACCTGAGAAATCATGAAGTTAATTATAAAATCAAGGCTACATTTAGCCCTCTAGATTAAATCCTACATGGGATAACCTAAAATATGTCTGATCAGGTAAGAGTCATATCTGTGTGGTTGCTTAACAACTTTTAGCTTAGTTAGCTCTTTTGTTAAAGACTGCCGTAAAAAGCAGCAATGAATCCAAGAGCAGCCCGGACCTATGATACACACCAATTCATATATATTGACCTGTAAAATCATTGAATATATCTGAAATTAAGCTAGTACTTGCGTCAAAAGTGACAGTGTTGTTTTATAGAAAACAAGGATCATGTATTGGACAGACTGTAAGCAGAGATGAGGTGTGTAAACCAGGCAGTCTACAAACCTGACACAGCTTCCCCAGTTCTGTTAACAGGAAGTGGCGAAAATTCCAGGGAACTATTGAGGAAAAACTTGTTCAAGGAAGAATGAACTAAGTCAAAAAGTTTAAAGGCATTTCATTCAAAAAATAATATGTTTTACATTTCTGAAATACAGGTACATTATAATAACATACAAACCTTTTTTTTTCATTTAATCTGCTATTAATAATTTCAGCGATGAAGCGTAAGTGAAAACTCAATGTGGAAGACTTATCAGCTTCACCTGAACCACCTGCGATGTTCCCCGTTCAGCTCAAGCCCAAAGGGAGCCACACCTTCTCTGAAGTCAGCCATCTTTCAAGATACCCTTCATTTAGTTCCTGGCCCAGCTTCCCTCCTGCTTCCACCCCATCTCCTCCCTTCATTCTCAGTCCCACTCACCCTCTGCCTTATTCCACCACTAGTTTATGTCTTTATCTGCTTCTGTCTCCTTGAACCCCAGTCCGCTTTGGCAGATGGCCGCTTACATTGAGTCTGGTTCTGCTGCAAGTTTCTTCCTATTAAAGCTACAGTGTGTAATAATTACAGGGATATACAGTCAGAAATGTAATATATTATACATAACTATGTTATTTATCATCATCTACGAGCTCAGCCTCTTAACCTTAATATTTGCGTTGCCTTAGAATTCGTTATTTATAATTACATAGGAGCGGGTCTCGCAGCCATTGAGGCAGACATCTTTGCGCTACGGCAGCGCAGAGCCAACAAACTAGCGATGGCGAGATCGCCCATTACGCTCGAAAGTAACTACGGCAAGTTGAGAGAGATGAACTGAGACGGTACTGAACAACAGATGGCAGTATTAAAATTATCTATGTAAACAAACCTCATCACTTGAGAAGGTAGGTGATGCGGACGTCGTGGAAGACATTTTGTCCCGTAACGCTCGCCGTACTGTTGGGGGGGAGAAGCAGTGGGGGGGAGATGTTCATGTTGCTGCGGTCTGCAGTCTGGATGTTAGATGTCGCTGAAAATTACACACTGTAGCTTTAAACGGGAGTTTTCCTCTCCACTGTCGCTACATGCATGCTCAGTGCAAGGGATTGCAGAGAAGTTTTCACAATCAACTGGTTATCATTAGATAATATTTTGAAGAATAAGATTATTTTACCTGCATAAATAAATAGAATAATTTTCTATTTGCTGCTTTTCTCTGTGTCTCTCCAGGATGAAATCATATATGACATAGAATAATAAACATTGAGAAAAGGCGTCTTTTTATCACGTGTACATAAATGAGGAACCATGTCACTAGTAAGGAAATCACAGATCAAAGATAGAACAGACTGAGGCAGCATTTAACATTTCGTGATATAAATTATTTATTTACATTTACAGAAAAAACGAACCCCATCAAGACAATGTTGTAATAACTATTGGAAATAGAACTCAACATACAGTAGCTGACGTCATCGTCACAAAAAAACAGAGAGCTCTATAATAACTTTGTGCCCTCTGTCAAAGGTCTCCTATAACACAAGGTGCAAGGCATCACGTGTAGCCCCGAAACCCCTCCCTCCCCCCCTCCCAGACTGAACACAGACTGCGATTTTTAAAGCCCGGTACCCTGCGTTGCACTACCCCCGGTTTGCTTTTAACCCTCGTCTACAAAGAACAGACGCCGGCTAGTCGGCCTCTACCGAAGCGCACACATCTAATAAGACACTCACACACACTCACATTCAGTGTCCTTGACGCCTCCCCCTTCTCCTCCTCCCCAGTTTAGTTCTGTCAGAAAAAAACAGGATCCTCAGAAAAAGGACACATGTCGGCAACAGGAAGGTGGGCAGCGGCGGCGTCCGATGATGAGAACATCATCCCAACGTGCAAGTCTTGCCGCTTACCGCGGTGCCAACTCTTGTTTTGTGATGCCACCGTCCTCTCTGGTCGTTGGGACATGGGAGAGGGGGAGTCGAGTGAAGGGAGGCGGACGCTAACTGTCATGGTTGGCCTACGAAGGGAACATCTAACGCCACAGCGCTCCGTAGCGTGAGGGGGGGGGCGACTCTTCAGGTGAGTCTGGGCTCAGATAAGACGAGTGGAGGCGCGCATGGTGTTCTCAGAACTGAAGTGGACATTGTTCTGCTTCTGCCGGTTGATCCTATTGGTCCGTGGGCACTTCCTGCAGAAGAAGGAGCAAATGATGACACATCAAAATGCTAAAATAAAGCCATGTGATAGTCAGAGCAGACAGGAGAGTTATCTTCGATTGGTGCCAAATCTCTGAATAACAGTTTTACTTTAGTAAGATATGCTTGAGGCAGGAGACAGTCAGCTATGAAGATAACATACAACTCTGAGGCTGATTTAACAATCCGACTTTCCGAAAAAGTTAAAAATCAATCCACTGGACTTTGTTTCCAAGTTTGAAGACATTTCGCTTCCCATCCAGGAAGCTTTTTCAATGAAAAATGTCAGAAATAGTGTTGAGTTCTAGGCTTTATAGAGTGGACCAAAAACAAAGCCTTGTTTTGGCTTAGAAAACATGCAAATTGAACCGGACAAATGGGTCTGCTCCTTTGGAATGGGGGTCGTTTGAGTTCTTTGTAAGACTGTTATACCCAATGCCTGTCTATGTCTCTGAAAGGGGGTTGTTAAAGAGAATTGTTGGCCTGGTTGAAACAGGTTGAGGTGTTTTGGTCGCCTCTATGGGGATGGGGGTTGCAAGGATCAACATATTCTCATTATCAGTTCGTATGAAATTGAACGAAAAGTTATGCACACTATTTTGTACGTTTTGGACGTTTTTCCTCAAAAAAACAGACCAGTGCGCATGCGCAGGCAGACAGACAAAAAAGCAGATCCGTGGACGGACGTAAAAATGTGAAAAACAGTGCAATAATTACTTCTTCATGTCTCTAACTACGTTGCTTGCTGTTTTATACCTTAGAGTTAGGGTTAGGGTCAGGGTTAGGGTTAATTGTATGTTACATTCGAAGTTATTAAATGGTGCGTACGAAATTAGGGTGCATAACTTTTTATACGATTTCATACGAACTCATAATGAGAATACACTACAAGGATAGCGGGAAGGAATCAATTCAATGGCTGAATTGTAGGTTTTTGAAAGATGAAGCTTAAGGTTGGTTTCTCTTTCTTAACATAGATGGCTTCCTTCACACCCCTCTCAAACCACCTTTCTTCTTTGTCCAAAAATTTCAAAATTCTGGTCCTCAAAGGAATGTCCTTTGTTCATAGGGTGTAGATATACCGCCGAGTCATGTCCCATCTTGTATATGACTCATATAGTGAGTTACATAGTCTAGTTTTTGAGCAAAAAAGCCTTTTTTAAATCTCAAATTGAGTTAAAACTTGGGTCAAAAGTTAAAGTGTTGCTTTAAGAGAGAAGGATTTTTTAAAGCATTTTTTTTCCAAACAAGCCATGCTTGTTCAGACTTTTTTCCTTATTCTCTTGATGACCTTTTAAATTCAACATGCTCTCCGACACCTATAAACTGTGAGCTTTTGATTTTTTTTCAGTTTTTTCAGCTCCATGCTCTGACCTTGGCCTGGATTTGCTGAGATGTTTGTTTCCTTGGAAAATTGGCCCCATGTTAAACATCTTTCTAGTTGGGAATAATCCCTCTTTGAATGATGGACTTCAGACAGAAGGGAAATGACCTCATTACCCTTCCTGGATCGACAGGCAGCAATGGTATCTTCCCTAAGGTCAGTGCTGATGTTTTTCCTCCCTTGTGTTGTGTTAACAAACAAACCTGTGACTGTATAGAGGTCTTCATAGGGATAATGATCAGCTGATTAATGCATTTGACCCTTAGCGCCTAATGGTTGGACTTGCATGAGGAAGTTGGACAAACATGATGACGTTCCAAAGAATTTATATGCATAAAAATGAAGGCACAGAGAGCATCTGAAAGGCCTTCTGTTATTAATCAAATATCTAACGTACATTACTTTAACAAGAGAAGAAATGGGTCTGGAATAAAGTTTAGGCTGATTTGTCCTTTTCACGAGACGGTAGGAAGTTTACAATAATGTGGTAACAGTGTGGTATTTTGGAGGACAGCGTTTCCTCGAGCAGACCTTTCCCGCGATAAGAGAGAATGTCAGACACGAGAATCAAAGCACAGAAATGACCTTTTCTGCTGCCTCATGTTTGTCCTTTAAGTGAATGGGGAATAAACAGAAACCCTGTAAAAACTCAGACAGTGGAAGAAGATCTTGTCCTCAATGGGAGGAGCATCGCAGGAGTTGCCTGGTGCATCCAGATTCCAATTAGAGTGACACCAGCTGTAAAGGAAGCTTGTGTATGGCTGCTTTTAAGGGATGCCTTAAACAGCGTTGCAGGAAACATTAACTCACTGTTATAAATGATCCCAGTATGCTTTTATCCTTTTTCTTATGTTCTCACTGTGCTCCCCTATGACTACACTCTCATTTAGTCCCCTTAGAGCTCCACCCCCACCACCTCCTCCAGCTCATCCGTTTCGAGTAGCAGTCCCCTCTTAGCAAAAATCTTCCAATTAAAGCGCATACATCTATATATATAGACATATGTAGTGTATATAGTAGAAATATAGTATGTAGTATGAGTATTTTTTAGTTGTTATATAATGCCTTTTAAAGCACAGCTCACACAGTAAGATGAGTGTGCAGAGTGTTCTTCAGATTTGTACGTGCCGTTGTGGGAACTGACAGCCCGTTCTCCCTGAGGTGAGGAACTCTGTGACCTTTATTAATTTTCCTCCAGGCTCAGGAGCTTTTAATCTACACATATTCAGTTGAGGCAAAAGTCTGATTTGCTGCTCATTGCTTTATGCATTTGTAAGGAAGTGTTGCTAAGGAACTTGCCATGTCTAAATACCGAAAAAGAGGAGAAAACTGTGGTTATCTAAGCGGCTACCACAGGTCCATCAAAGCCGATCCAAATGCAAGGTAGTCCGGGTCACACCTACTTATAAAGGGGGGTATTCAGGCCTTTTAATGTTATTAGTTTTTTTCCTTATTCATTAATCTATCTCAGGTAAGTCATGAGTTGAAAACTCTTCCAGATGTGGCCTCCCTGAATCAGTACTGAGTGGATTAACTATTAGGTTGCACTCATACAGCTGATCTTAATGTTAAATACTGTTCTTTGCTCCAATCCGATTGCATCGTCCTTCCTACTTACATGTGTATGGCATCATGACTGGACCAAAAACTATTTGCTTGTTCAATAAGGTCTACCAAGGGGCCCTCAGGGTCTGACACAAAATAACTCACCAGGGAGCTATGGTTAAATTTTTATTCTATCTGTTTCTGCTATCTTCAGTGTTTCCAACTCCTCAGTAAGGAAAGTAGCTATTGGCTGTGCTAAAAGTCGCTAGAAGTCGCTAAATGACGTCATCGCCTAATTTGCATAATCTACCACAGGAAGTGATGTGCATGTTATTGATGCTGTGGGAGAAATAATGTCGTTACAGAAAGACAAAAAGTGAGGAAAAACACTATAATAGTGTTTTTACTCACTTTACTGAACAATATATAGAGCTATTTTTTTCTGTCCATTAATGTTTATTTATTTATTTTTTATTTTATTTTTTTATTTATATATTTTAATTATTGTGATCAATTTGCGCCGTCAATCCCGGCGCATGCGCGCTTCATTTGCAGTCTGGATGCTGAGGGTAAACATCCTGCGGCTCTGACTGCAGCGCTGAGAGGGACTCCTGCGGGAGCGGGAGAACGGGGTTGGGACGGGGGAGGCGCCTCACGGCAGCAGCTGCCGCTGGAGGACAAGAGTAGGAACGATACATGCTTTCACTTAAGAAGCCAAAAGCCGCCAGTGACACCGTAAAAAGTCGCCAGATTTGTCGCTAGTCTGAAAAGTCGCTAAATATAGCGACAAAGTCGCTGAGTTGGCAACACTGCCTATCTTTTAATATTTTATAGAGCATTTTAGCTTTTATATAATGACAAATTAAAAATATGTTTATTATGCATGAAGTTTAGGTGAAGGCTGACCCATCCAGTCCATAGATCAGTACTGGTAGCCTTTCCTACGATTCAGTGCCCATGATGTAGCTCTAAGCCTTAAAAAGTTGGTGACCCCTGATCTAAAGAAATTAATCGCACAAATGATAAGATTTGCAAAAATTGAGTTAAGCTCTTCCTGCTATCATCGCAACAAAACCACTCTACAGTGTAACAGAAGACCCCACCTATTCAGCATATATGGGGCATTGCAGGCTAACAAAATAAGCAAAGAACCCTCATTCCAAAGCGGTGGACCCGTTCGTCCGTTTCAATTTGCATTTTGTCTAAGCAAAAGCAAGGCTTTGTTGGGCTACTGTATAAAGAAAGTCAATGCTATTTCTAAATTGAAAAAGCTTCCTGTTGCCAAACTTGGAAACAAGATCAGATTGTTTTTTTTAACTCTTTTGGAATGACTATGACCTGGATGACTGAGAATCTTCACCAGCATTTGCGCTTTCAACAAGTTTTAGGTATAAAAAAGTGCTTGGGTTTTTGTAAGTATTTACATTATTATGTCCTCCACACAAAAATTTGTGTGGTTTGGTCATTGGAATATGATCTCCACATAAAGGCACACAAGCAAAAAAATGGCTGAATTGCACACGCAAATTGTGTTGCACCCTTTATGAAGATCTGCTCTGCTGCACGTATGTCTCCATGTGTCTTTCTACATGTCTGTAAATCAGTTAGCGTGTTTTTACCATCAAAGTGAGGACTGTTATACTTTTTTTTAGGTGAGGTTGAGGAGTAAATTCAGTTGAGTTTAAGTTTGTGGTTAGGTGTGGAATAGTTTACAGCATAGAAAGAGTTAAAAATGCCCAAAAATCACTGAAGGGTTGTAATAGTCGATGCATGGTCCAATTTACATACAGCAAAGCGAGAATGTGTGTGTGTGTTTTTTTAGGTGACGACTCACCTGGTAATGCAGAGCACAACCACACAGATGATGACCACCTGCAGGGCTCCAATGATAGAGGCAATCAGGACGTAGTGCAGTTTTCCAGAGCCTGGCACCACATACAGCACGTTGTATTCCTTGATGTCACATTTGGGGCCCATGAAGCCTGAGTGACAGCTGAGATCACATCCCCACACACACAGGCAAAAAAACACAAGCACACAAAGCGGAGGGAAAGAGGCAGAGAAGAAAAAGTCACTGAGCGACAGGTTAATAATTTTCTAATTGAAACATTGGGACATTTTCCAGAATAGAATGCGCTGCGTCTTATTTTTTGTTGTTGCTGTGACTGATGGAAGTGACTGATGGGGACTCAACTGGGAAATAAGGGAAGGGGGTAGAAATGCATGATCCTCTCTTTGTTCTGGGCTCCTCATCCTAATAAAGGAGCTGTAGTCCCACTTAACAGATAACAGTGACACTGATTTTTTTTTTTTTTTTGGCGACAGTAAAACCTGCTGTTCTGCACTCCGCTCGCCCTATATGCATCGGTTCTGATGGAAAATGTCCAGAGTAAGACTACCCGCCTTTTAAGACACTTTAAAGTTCAGTTGATTTGACTTAAAAAAAAAAAAATGCATAGACCAGTAGCGGGCTGTTCAGTGACGCACTGCTGCTTTGCAGCAAGAAGGTTTTGGGTTCGATTCCTGGACCGGGGTCTTTCTGCGTGGAGTTTGCATGTTATCCCTGAGCATGCGTGGGTTCTCTCCGGGTACTCCGGCTTCCTCCCACAGTCCAAAAACATGACTGTTAGGTTAATTGACTTGTCTAAATTCTCCTTAGATGTGAGTGTGTGCATGAATGATTGTTTGTCCTGTTTGTCTCTGAGTTGCCCTGCGATGGACTGGCGACCTGTCCAGGGTTGTCCTTGCCCATTGACTGCTGGAGATAGGCGCAAGCACCCCTCGCGACCCCCCTCGGGACAAGCGTGTCAGATAATGGATGATTGATGGATGGATGGACCAGTAGCAGTGGCGGCCGGCCCATAGGGGGCGCTGGGGCACCGCCCTCCCTGATAAGAAGAGAGAAACGTAAAATATATTT